AGAGACTAACACTTTTATAAAGAAAAGTGTAAAGACTTTTACAATGTTACAACATATTTCTAAATAAATGCTGTTCTGGTTGAACAAGAATCCTGTAAAAAAGCATCACGCTTTCTACAAAAATATTAAGCAGCACTTAACTGTTTTCAACATTGATAATAATACACATTTTTTCTTGAGCACCAAATCAGCATATTAGAATGATTTCTGAAGGATTCATTTTGAACAGATTGTCCCAATTATATATATTTTTTAACCAATTTTAATGATTTTACAGCACTTTATAATTTACCTACAATAACCATGAAACTTCAAAATCAAATTTCCATTTTAACTTGATTTCACTTCTTTCTTTTTTCTTTGGAGGGGACTCTATTGGTCTTGCATACGGCAGACCCAATGCGTCATTACCTAGGCCTATATGTGTAGTAGAACTGATGAATGTAGACTCATTACTGTGCTGTAATCATTCACTAAACAGTGAAATCCCCCTGTGGTGAAAATCCAGCTTTTAATGTTGTTTATATGTCTATGTGGTGTTTTTAATATGCTTTAAGACAAACCATGCGCAAATTCACAAGTCAACATCATTGCTGAGTATTTTCTTCTTAAAACTACAGTGACCCAAAGACAGTCTCAAAAAGGCGGTTTTGAAACCTGGGTGGTTCCTCAGAGAACTGCCCCTTTTTAAAGGGTTCCTAGAGGATCTACAGACGGTTCCGCCGGTGTGGCAAAGTGAAGAGCCCCAAAAGGTTCCTTCAGGCACCTTTTCTTTTTACAGTGTAGAGTTACATTCAACATTCAAGCTATTTTAAGGCATTAAGAATTTTTTTTCAAGGAAAAAAAGTTTAAATATGTAATTTTGGTGATCAAAGATGAGTTTTTAAGGGATTATTGACTACAGGGGGAGTTTAAAGGCACAGTATGTAGTTTTCGTCGCTACAGGTCACTTATTCAAAACAATAACAAAGGCATAGCTTGATGACACCATGAGTGTGGAATCACGGGAGTTGTGGTCTTCACCTCCACAGCCGATGGAATGCAATCCAACGGGACTCAGGCACAAATCATGTTTATGGTTGAGCTAATGTATTAAAGTTTTATTAACGTTACTGTGTTATGGGACAGCCTGGGACATTTTATGTTGATGTTTTAATTATGCTTATGTGCTGCAGTAGGCCACTGGTATTTCTTTCATTTTGTTGTTTATTTTACGATTAACCAAGTCCCTCCAGAAAAACGCAATTATGCGATCGCTGAATTCAATGCATAATCAGCCAAAGTCCGCATATTTATGCGGGGGTTGCATTTTTTCAAATACTCCGCAATTTCGCCGCATAAATTGCTGATTTCCGCGCAAAATATGCGGGGCTTGCATGATTTCATAATCCCCGCATTTTCGTCGCAAAAAAGTCACATATATCTTAGCAGAAAGTTGGAAAATGTTGCGTTTGCTTCACACGAGAGCAGCCGTTTCCCCCTGTTGCCATGGGAACGTTATGAAGTGACGTAATCACGCGACGTGAACATCATCGAAAAGCTGTAAAACAGGAGCACACTTTATTTTTAAATATTTCATTTATTTATTTTTACTGAAGTTGTAGCATATTCCTCTAGTAAAGCTACAGAACTTGTTTGACTCATCAATGTTTTGTAAGTTTGATGTGTTTATTAAGGTCTTGTAACGCATTGTGTCGGGAAGAAAAATAGGGATAGCTCACAGCTGAAGTTATTGCAGAGGCCAGACAGACTCACGGAGGCGATTGGCATCTCACAACTCGCACTTTATTCCCAAATCGAACTCGTATAACTGTCTGTCACACGTTCTACCGTCCACATCGTTACTTAATAAACAAAATAAGATGAAGTAGCATCAAACAGAAATTACCCGCACACATGTGGTGTTCGAGGTTGCATGACACATACAATATAATACTGCAGACAGTTCAACAGGGAGCGCGCAGCTTTTAAAGGGGGCCTTATTTCCACTCGTTACAGACTGAAATAAAACAAGATGAGAAATTAAATATTTCCAGCACTTTCTGTGATGTAGTATGCTTGCTTATCATAGGAAGTAATAAGAAAGGACTCTTTACATTAAAGTAGTAGCCTAGTGAGAACAGGGTGTTGGGGGAATCACTTTTTTTTCTCTTTTTCATCAAACCGCAGTTTTTGCAAGTTCCCGCAATTTTTGCAAGTTCCCGCAATTTTTGCAAGTTCCCGCAATTTCATCGCAAAAAATTGCATGAATATCCCGCATATTCCATCGCATTTTTAAAGAAAACGGGCCGCGTAATCAAGGATTTTTGCCCGCAACAATCACAAAAAAACTAACATTGTTTAAGGTCCGCCTCCTTTGTCCCTAAACTTGAACGTTACAGTAACGTTTGATCACTTATATTCACTTAATTTTATTTCATTCTAATGAAATAGCCGCAAATGCTGAATTAGCCACTACTCATTTTATTTGATGAATTAAAATTGTGGTGTAACGCAGCGCTGTTTTACGTGGTTTACTTGATGTTGTCTCTGATGCATGGTACAAACATGTTCCTTGCGGTAAATCAAGAAAAAATTGTTGAGTTATACAACAATCGATAAAGGTATCCAAAAACTTGCTCACATGTCTAATAAAACAAGCGTTCTTGGTGTTTCTACGGAAGTAAAAACAGAAATCGAGGGTAACACATGGATGTGGCGTCATTGACAGGCTACGCGATGACACGGGCCGTTACACTGGTTAAAATTGCTGATTTCTCTGGATTTAAACATTGTTCGAAACCTTTGGGTTAAGGTAAGTGCAAGAGTCAACTAAATATATAACATTGTTCTAGTGGTTTTTGGATATTTGAATCCAAAATTCGTACATTGTGCCTTTAAGCATGTCACATTCAATTTCACTGTGGTCATGTTTCACTGATAGAGAACAAACAATACCTTAAATCTGACATCAAAGGGGGTTTTCTATGCATACTGCTCAATTCTTCAAGGTTTGGCAAGACATCAAGCTGAAATCAAATCTTCCTCCACACAAACACACACGGATGCCGCAGCCATTTTTACCCCCACTCCTTCAGAAATTTACTCAGCAAAATCAGGAAGGCTGATCGTTTGAGGAAAATCCCTTATTCTACATCACAGGAGTGCACTCAGACTGATTGTTTTGTTATTACAGAATCAGTGCACTGCACTCAAATGAAAAAGATTAGCCTCATGAGTGACCATTTAACCCTGACCACAGAGGCCAAGAAACCACCCAAATGGCATTTCACACCCACCTCCACCACCCCACTGCTTCCCCTGCCACTATTTCTTCCTTTGTGTCTTCCTTCTCTCGGAGCGAGAGGGAGAGAGGGACTCACGTTGCACTCCGAGAGAGCTGGCAGCGCTCCAATCCCCTGCGACAGCAACATTTCCATTGATCAGAGCAAATGGAGACATGTCAAGTTACCACGGCAACTGGCAGGCCAGTGAGGCAGATCCGTGTGGCTGAAGAAGAGTCTGCGTGAGGAGTATCAGGGTGGAGCTGTGTGGGCAAGATCCACGGCATTAAACATGCTCAATAAGTTACTGCTATGTTATATAAATGTTGTTAACATAAGAGATTCAGTAGCTATACCTATGCATTCGACTAGAATGTGAATATTTCTGACAGTGTTCGCTCGTTTATGAAGGCTTGAAGGTGTGATCTTGTTGTGGAAGTCAGACAGATGGAAGATTTTCTGCTTCCTCTGTTAGTGAGGAGGATAGAATCGTGCTCAACTTATATATTTCATTGATTTATACATTTTCAATGATTTATCACCCATTTCAAAATGAATTCAGATTCCTATGGTCATGGTAATATTTCTATGTATATGTACAGCAAGAGCTGGTGATGTACTCCATCTACAGGCTGCCTGCCAAACACAACCCAGCTGCAGTGTCGGCTGAAAGATGCACACCCCAGATTGTCATATTGTGTCATCATAATGGCATAATATAATATGAAAATAACATAACAACTCATGTCCAATTCTCCTCTGTGCACTCAATAACATGCATAAAATAATCACTGCAATTTTAGAAAATCAAAAATAAACATAGGCCTACAACTGATTTGATGATTAAAAAAAAGATTAAATATTTATTTCTATTCAATTAAATAAAATCTTTAAAATAAAATTAAATGCATTAAAGGTAGGCTATTCATATATATTATATTAGCCTATATATAATAGCCTATATTATTACATATACATATTTAGATATATTCCCCATATTTATTTGTGCATTTCAGATTGGGCAAGGGATAAAGATTAATAATTATAAGAAGTTCTGTAGATGCACTTACACAACTTGCACAACAGGAAGGTAATGATTTCCAATGCCATTTTAACTTTTCAACCCTTTAATTAAGAAAGGGTTGAAAAGACAGTATGGCATGGGGAATCAGTATAGGCTTTATCTTCTTTTCCAATCATTTTGTTGCAGAAGTGCACATTAGATTATGCTACTGTAATTTACTTTCTGAATGAACAATGAAGAGGTTAAAGAGGTTACAGGAACATGAATCATGTTTTGTCTATTTAAAAAAATCTAGCAGCTGTGTCAAAATAAATTATTTAAATAAATGACAAATTCAGAACAGATCTTTAATATAATTGTACAGTGAATACATTTTTAAATGCCAAGTTGAGAGTTCAATCAACAGACTAAATAATTAAAAAATATATAAATAGAAGTATTTGCAACGTGATGTCAGCACATATTCACATAGACTCATAGTACCTTCTACGTCCATGAGAGGGCGACAAATCCCAAATTAATTACCACAGTGGGCGAAATATCATTTTAAATAAAACATCTATAGCATACAAAACTCAGATCTCCGAGAAACCGGACTCTCTCAGAGAGTTCATAAAGAGATATTACCACAGTGATCAGCTTTAGAGCTCGTTGACACGGACGTGAAGTGTCTTTTTTTCTTTTTTTTTTTCAGTTTCGCGGTGGACAGGCAGAGAGGGGCAGATTCAGGGGAGGGACGCAAGCAGCAGCAGCTCCCGGTCTCACTGCTCACACACAGGGAAGAAGACACAGGGCTGACACTGATGGTGCTGTGCATCTGATAAAAACAAACAAACGGGAGAATAAACCTGAAATTTGAGGGGAAACAGCACTGGGACAATATGCAGTGAGTATAGCAACTATTCTTCATTTAGTGGGCAGGCCAGTGTGCCGCTGGCCCTTTTAATGAGTGAACGGAGCCACACCTGCAAAACATCCCAAGCTCTGCTCTTCTTGTTGTTCCTATGGCACAATTAAACGGTATATTTGAAGGCTGCATTTTTAATGTTACAAATGTTAATGTTTAAAACGGTGATGGTTTAGAGCTATATTGTATTTTTTGCTGTGGTGTAATGTGTATCGGTACAGCGGATAACGGTATGACATCCAGGGGTGAGCAGCATCCAGCACACATGCGCTCTATATCCCCCGTGCTGACAGAAATAGGTGTCTCCTTCATGCCATTGACACATAGTGCAGTTGTTTTCATGGCTAATTTAGAAGCAGCATGTCTCTTTTTTTAATCTTTGAGGTACTTGCTATTCATCTTACATGAGTGTTTGTTTACAGTATCGCGTAGGCTACTGTATTTAACCTGTGATTCGGTCATAGGCACGAGGCTACTAAGCTGCCATGCTTATATTCAGTGCTACAGAACGATTAGCCGTCCTATAAAGTAAGCAATATGAGGTACTACACTGAATAGAGAAACCAGCTAATTTCTTTTAATATTTCATCTCCGCCAACGGAAATAGTTTGAAAAGAAGCCAGAACAGTATGCTTTGGGTTTGGTTAACTTCTTTTCAGCGGTCTCGGTCCGCTTGTTTGTTGCTTATCAGGATTCGGATGGCAGCGTTCACACTTGTTCAAATGAACCGCATTAACAGAACAATCAAACCAGAGTTAGTTTTACTCTAAACAAACATGGCGAGTGTGAACACACCCTAAAGAAGCAAGGCACTGAAATTGCGGAACACTGTATATGAATGGAATGGATTTACAGAGCTCTCCCCTCTGCCCAATGCATCACTTCAATCCAGATTTGATATTTCTCGCTCCATGCACACTAGTGAGAGAAAACCCACTTATGCCGAGTTCACACTGAACGATTTTAGGCCCGATTTTCACTCGCCGACAGGTTTTGGGAGATCGCCAACAAATGCCTGAAATCATAGGCAAATTGGTGCTCGTTCACGTGAGTGACAATCACACAAGTGTGAATTATCAAAGACACGATGCCGATCGATCGTGCAGTGTGAACACACCAGCAACTGAATGATACCCCAGATAGTCACGCAGTGTGAAAAGAACAGTGACCTGACTACTTTGAAAATCGTGCAGTGTGAACTCTGCATTAGAGGTTAGAGGGTTTTGTACATGATGCTTGATAGTGAGCAATCTGGTATTTGTTGTCATGTTATTTTAATTTATTCTCATCATCATAAACTGTTTTTTTCCCCGCACAAATAGTTTTACCATTTACTGCACCTTTTCTTGTAGTTATTTATATAGCGGCTAATGAATCAGAAATATTGCACATTCACAGAAAATAGCTTTCTTCTGCATTGCAAAAAAGGTTGATAGCCTACTGAATAACACAGATGCTTTTTTAAAAGTCTTATACAAAATCACACAACTCCACTTTAATTCAAAATGTAGACTATATTTCACAGTGCTTGCAAGGATCATTTCTCAAAACTAAAAAGTGATTAGGTTATTGCTAATAATTAGCGTTCTAAATTGGTCTTCTTTTTTGCACTCATTTGCATATTGAATTGTGATGGGTCTTTTTTTCTCTGCTGCGTTTCTCTGTTGCTTACTCTGAGCTTTAACTTATATTGCTGTGCTGATATTTTCTTCGAGCAATACACATCTTGTTTATTGCAACATTTCAGTAAATTGTACATTAAATCGAACTTTGCAAGTTGACTAATGCATGACATTGAGAAAGATAAATGATAGTTGTGATGTAATGGCAACAGATCATTTCTTCCATATTGTAAAAAAATAATAATACAATCTATCTATCGGTTGTTGATTGAATGGAGGCAGATCTGAATGCAAGCTTGCAGTTGATTGTAAGAAAGGGGTGGGGCTTAAGCGGACTAAATGATTGAACCAGAGAGTGAAGTAGTTTGTCGTTTCACTGGAATATTTGAAAGTTGTGATATTTTGATTAAAAAGTACATATGAATAAATTATCCTTAATGAGATCATTAAGATGCATTCAGAAAATAGATTCCATTTCATGGTGATTTCAAGCATGTCAAATGAAAAGATTTATTGGTACATAAACGATACACAAAAGATTTCTGTCTGACTGATATCTGAAAGAATGCAGTGAGCTCCATTGATGTGAAACAACCTAATAATCCATGCACTGAGAATCCTGTTTCCCTCTGTGAAAGTGAGAGGATACATACATCATGACCGGGGCTTTAGCTAGAAGAGCAGAGACAACTGCCGGCAGACTTAATTACTCTAATGTACTACACCAGAGGGAGAGAGATGAGGGGTGGGCTGACAGTTGCTCCTGGAATCTGAATGAAAGGCCCTACCCATATCGGATGACACATGCCTCTCCATTAGTGACTCGCACAAGTCTGTCTGAAACCCCATAAATGACCACTCCGTTCAGGAGAGGATGAAATTAGGCGCTGTTTTATTGGCACAATGAAAATATCTTCCCTGAAATATGATAAGAGCTGCTTTTAGCTGAAAAAAATGTGGCGGTAAATGTATGTATAATCCTATTGTGTATTTTGGGTACTGCACATTGCCTTTTTATGACCGGTGCAGTTGTGGTGAAATTTGAGTATGATAAAGCTGCTCGTTTTCCCTTTCACTTCATGTGTATAGTCAAGATGGAGCATTGTTAATCTCGGGCTTCATTGAGAAGGTTGATGGGCGCATCATTTCCTGTTGATGTTGCTTTGTAACTCAGCATGTGTACCATTTCTCCACTGTCATCCTTTCCTCTTGCTTATGAAGTGCTGATTTCTGCCACATGTGTTGAGGAATGCTGGGAAGCTTCAAAGAATTCATCAGACACCGTGTCTGAGCTGAGCCCTAATGAACAGGCCTGAAACTGCTTGGTCAGGGTTCCTCAAAGAAGGATGAAAACTGAGTGAGAACTAAAGCGAATTAGGGTCCTATTATGCTTTTCCAGTTTTTTACCTTTAAGTTAGTGTGTAATGCTGCTGCTTGAACATAAAAAAAGATCTGCAAGGTTACAAAGCTCAGTCCACTCCAAAGGGAGATTTATTTTACAGAATCCCCTTTTCTAGAACTCAACGAATGGCTCGTTTGGACTACAACGCAATTTTTCTGGGCTTTATGAAGTCATAGGGCCCTATCATACACCAGACGCAATGCAGCGCTAAGCGCGACTCAAGTGTTTTTTTGCTAGTTTCAGCCCGACGCAGTTATCATTTTCATTTCCTCCACAACACGTGTACACTTTGTCCCGTAGATGGCTGCTTGCGCGCTTTAACCTCGCGCACGAACAGATCCGTTTCCTCGCTAGAGAAGCGTTCAGTTTTTCTGCTTGCAAATTCTGCCATGTAAATAGCGAATCCGCCCTGGTCCGAGCGCAACTGGCTTTTAAAGGGAATGGGAGATGAGACTCCGATTGGTTTATTGCACGTTACGCCCAAAACACACCCATTACTCATTAAGAGAATGTGGACAACCCTTTTAGACCATGCGCCGACCATTTTTCCCGTAGTTAAACTAGCAAAGTGGATTTTGAACACGCCCTAAGTGCACTTGCGCTTTAGACCATGCGCTTAGATCGTTAAAATTGGGCCCTTAATGTTAAATAATCTCCGCCCATAGAATATGAAAAAAAGGGTTGAGGCCTGGTTGAGCTGAGTTAGAGAAGACAGTGTTGTAGCTATGTCAAAGAGACACTGTTTTTTCCACAACGTTTCCAAAACTCATTTATTTGACCTTAGTAAGGCTGACAAACTTAGAGGGGTGAAATCACTGTTCCTGAACATTATAACCCCAACGTTTATCTGTGTGCTGCACATTTTATGGAGAACAGCTTGTTTTCTGTTGCTTTTGTAAGCTCTCGCTTTTGTAAGACGTTCACCGCTCCTTAGGAAAGTAAACCATGGGTTTGTGATCGATTACTGTTTGTATTACCATAGTTTTCAGACAAATATCATGATTAAATGGTAGATAACATTGTATCTAAAATGTATAAGGAAATTACAAAAAACATACCACTCTGAAACGTCCTGGAAAATCCGTGCTTGCAAAATCTGTGCATGAAATCCATTCTGGACGATCCTCTTGTTTGTTAACATTGTCTGAATCGGGTTCGAATTGGTTTGAAATTGACGCCATTCTAAGTATTTACACTAGAGAAGAACTCGCAGTTGTGGAGGGGTGGGACATAATTTCAAAACACACGCTGAGTGGTGCCAATCACTACACACTGGGCCAGCTTACCAATCACAGCACATTTCATCAAAATCGGCGTGTTCAAACCAGACTGGGGAGAGAGTTGCTGTAATAATGTAAAATATGTAAATATGTAAAAATGCATTTTTTGAACAATCAAGCATGAAAACATATTCTACACCCCCAAAACAAAAGTGAGACGTCGTAAAAAGGCATAATAGGACCCCTTTAAAAAAGCGAATGGGAAACCCTTCCCACCATGATTTAAAACTAATGTATCCTCTGTCCTTCAGTTCCTGTCCATTTTGTTATTCTCTTCAGTCTGTTATTCATTATCAGTGTGAGAGGAGCTCTGTGTTATCTAATTTATATGTCACTCATGGCCAACACCCTTTACTGACAATATGGGGCGAGGTCATATAAATTAGACAGTGTTCTTTCAATTCAATTCATTGAGCAGTTCATGAGTGAATCCATAGGGATGTGGACAGAATAGTGTGGATTTCAGTACTGCAACTTTGGATATGGATATCAAACTGAAAGGGCATGCAACTACAGAATTACATCATTTCCTTTCCAGGATTGCAGGAATATTTTGTACACTTTTTTAACACTTTCTGAATCCAGAATCCTGCACATGACTTGAAAAAAAAAAGATATTGTGGACTTGTGGTTCAAGCGGGGGGTTGAGGGTTGGGCATGGATTTTTGCTATGCC